CTGGAATGAGGAGCCCCAGTTAAATGTACTTCTCAACGAGTTCAACGCCCCAGCGGGAGCACCAAGCGTAGGGGCAGTGCCGGTTTCGGACTTATTGCATGCCGAACTGTAGGTATCATGATTCCTTTTTCCGCGCTGTTATGCTGAGCAAGCAAGTGACCAGTTGTACTTTGATCGTGCGCACGTTTTCGTTCCCATTCTCAACGCACGGCGCTACCTTTCCTGGACCAGGGATTCCAACAAGTCTGTATCGAGAAGATGCTTGCAGTACGCCATGTGGACGATAACTACATCCATGTCCGCCCAGCTGGAGCATCTATGCGAGCCCCTATACCAGTCTGTTCGGCAGCTCCTAGGCTATCTACAACTAGTAGATAGAGATTCCGAGGTTGACCAGATAGAGCATGTTCAGGCTTTACTGATACTTGCTGTTTACGAGTTCACTCACCATAACTTCCGTCGCGGGTGGGTGAGCGCCGGTCAGGGCATCCGACTTGTGCAGCTGATGGACCTGCACAAGCTTGATCTTGGCCAGGCGGAGAATACAGGATCTCACCAAGCGAGTACATTGGAGGATCTCGTCTGTGCGGAGGAGAAGCGTCGCGTCTTCTGGGTAGCGTACATTCTGGACCGACTTATCTCCTTGAGACACGAGAGCCCGTTAACCTTTGACGAGCGAATTGTATGTCATGTCGATGCTTTGATCGCCGGCGTACCTAGCTGATGGTTGACAGATTGCGACACGATTGCCCGCCAGAGAGGAGATGTTCCAGACAGGTCAACTAAGCCAGATGACCGGTTTCCTCTCGAAAACCATTATTGAAGATAGACCGCTACTCAAAGCAGAGCTTTCGGAAATGGTCATCCTAGCATCACTTTGTGGGAAAACGGTATTGCACCGACAGCAGGCAGTCGCGGAGCAAGCCGACTGCGGCATATCCAACAGCTTCTGGGAGCGACATCGTTGGTTAGATGCTGTACTAATCAAGAAGGGTCGGACCATCTCGGCAGTCCAGCCAGTAACGCCCACTCTGCCAGCCGAACCGGTGTCTCTCACCCCCAATCTTATGATACAATCGGCTATTCTATACCACTGTATGACGCTGGAGCTACTGGCTCGCGCGACTGAGAATAGTGAGACGCTGCGGCAATGCCGACAGCGAGCACTCCTGACTGTCCAGGAGATTATTCGCCTGACAGAGGCGGTGTTGCAGCTGAGTTACTTTGAGGTGACTTGCAACCTTCCCTTTCTTTAGCTAGCTGTACTGATGTCCGATAGATCTCCCCGTTCACACCGCTTCCCATACTTCTCTGCGCCCAAGTGCTCATGATGTATCAAGAAACAGATGCCTCGTGCGTGCTGCAACTGCAGGAAGTTTTAGGTATGGTGCAAAATTTGGCGAATACTAATTATCTTTGCCGGGAATGGGTTAATCAACACTCTGATCTGTTTGATCTCGAACCCGACTTTGTCCTTGCTGAGGAGGAGAGCCATGGTTAGGTTCGTCGATATTGTACATACATCTTCTATGGAAAGCTGCTCAGCCTTATACGCTACGAGATCCGGAAGCTCGCTTGGGTTGGCCTTGTGACGTGCACTACCATGACGAAAATGGCTCACGGTGAATGAGCAGCCAATGAAGGTAGTTGAGGCGTGGGACTGCCGGATCGCGAAAGAGATCGGCTCAAAAATTGGCTTCGATGGGGGTGGTCAGGCGGCTTCATCCGCCTATAATATACCTGGTATACCCCGGATCCGCAGCGCCGGTAGATGAAGCTGTGAGATTGCCGTGTGCGGCGGGCTGATGCTTTAGCCGCGGAAACGAGACTCGGCAAGCAACCGTCTTATCAGATCAACTTTAATAAGGCTTGGTTGGATCGATCGATCCACCTTGTGCTTCTCATGGGTAGTCATGGCGAGCCAGAAGATAGAAGTAGAATTGTCTGATCGCTCCCGGTCGGCGGCTGAGCAGAGGGAGTCATCCCTGCCGCAAAATGCGGACCGGGCTTTGAATAGCAGGAGTGAGCCTGTTCCTGAACCGGTCTATCCCCAATGGTAAGCTCACCAACCTACAAGAGGGTCAACTTTTCTGACAACCAAGGCACTATGTCGCCGTCGTGGCAGCCGGGTTCATCGTGATGCTCACAACCTGCGCTTTCGTGTTCTCCTTTGGAGTCTACCAATCCCTCTATGAAGAGATGGCCCGCGAACCAGACACTCCTTTTACCGGAAGCACGACTGCGCTCATCGACCTGATCGGCACACTGGCCATTGCGCTCATGTCGATGGCTGGCCCTTTCGCCATGTCCTGGGCGAAGCTCTTCTCCCCACAAGCCGTGATCATCGCCGGCGGCTGGGTATTCGGCATCGCCTACATCCTCGCCAGTTTCAGCAAGGCTCTATGGCATTTTGCCCTAACACAGGGCTTACTCCTGGGAATTGGCACCTGCATGGCCTACGTTCCCACCATGGCAGTTGCCCCAACCTGGTTCAGCAAACGTCGCGGCCTCGCCATGGGAATCATCATCTCGGGGACCGGAGTGGGGGGCATGATCTGGCCGCCTGCACTGCGGGCCATGATCTCCCATGTGGGCTTCCGCAACGCCCTGCGCATCTCAGGCTGCATCTCACTGACGACCGTCACCGCCGCGGGCAGCATCCTGCGCTGGGAGCCCAAATTCCACGAACAAGTCAAACTGCAAGCAGCCGGATCCTCCAGCAGCAGATCCCACCCTCGTCCCAAATGGATCCGACTCTTCTCCGTCCCGCTCGTCAACTGGCGTGTAGCCCGCTCCAAACGCTTCACGGCCCAAGCCCTCGGCTGCTTCCTCCAATCCGCCGGCTACTCCACGCCGCTCTTCTTCTACGCCGCATACGCCCAAGCCCTGGGCTACAGCGCCACAACAGCAGCCAACTTCATCACGCTAAGCAACGCATCGAACTTTGTCTCCCGCATCATCATCGGCTACGCAGCCGACAAGCTCGGCAGGATCAATGCCCTCGCGGCCACGACGCTGCTCAGCGCCGTGGCCGTCTTCGCCTTCTGGCTGCCCTCGTCGCTGGTCTCGAGTGCTGCCGCACACGGACTCTTCATCGTCTTCACGATCCTATACGGCGCCTTTGCTAGCGCGTATATCTCCCTCTTCCCCGCATCCCTAGTGGAGCTCTTCGGCGTGCAGCATTTCACTAGCGTCAATGGGGCGCTGTATCTGGTGCGGGGGGTCGGGGCGTTGCTTGGCACGCCGCTGACGGGGCTGTTGATTCCACGAGGCTCCGCCCTGACGGAGTCGGGGACATACGAACGGGCTGCTATTACAGTGGGAGTGTTGTTGTTCGCTGCGACGGTGGCATGTTTCTGGGTGCGAGCTGAAGTACATGGGAAGTGGCGGGTGTAGCTACCTCAACTCACTGCAGATTCATAGTAATTAAATCAATGATAAATATGTAACATTACAATCATAGAATCGAACCGAATCGCATCGAAAATAGAATACATTCAACCCGAAACCATCCCCCAACTACCATCATATCCATACCCATTAACCCATCAATAAATCACTCAATGATCTAGAAACCCCCCAAAACAGCCCCACACAGCACCATCCCCAACATGCCCAACCCAACCTTACTAACCCCAACCTGCTTCATCGGCACAGCCGCCGACGACCCCGTCTCACTCGCCGCACTGCCCGTACTCGTCCCCGTCTTCGTAGAAGATCCCGTAGCCTTGGTGCCCGTCACGCTCGCCGTCGCCGTCGCAGTCAAGTTACCGGAGCAGAAGGGGTCCTCGACCGCCCCGTTGGACTGAATGCAGGAGAGAAGCTCCTTGACGTCTTGTCCTTGGGCCAGACAGTAGATTCCGCAGTCGTTGTCGTATTTGGTTGGGCTGGCGGGCGAACAGCATTTGTCCATGATGGCGCTCGCGTTGTTGGTGTTGGGGAGCGCGCATGCTGCATCTTGCACGGGGAGGACGTAGAGGTTGCCTGTGGAGGTGCATGTGCTGGCGGTGGTGGTGGCTGTGGCGGTTGTGGTGGACATTTTGTTTTTTTGGCTCCTCGGAGAGGGTGTGCTTTGGTAGTAGAGAGAGAGAGTGTGTGTGTTTGTGGAACGAGTGTTCTTTGTAGATGTGGATGTGGATAACAACGAAACGAGTGTTGTTTGCGTAGGTAGGTGAGGAAGAGGAAGAAAAGGTGAAAGAAAAAGCGAGAACAAAGGTACTAATAAATAAGTAAATAAATATCTCACCTCCGGATTTTCCCAACAGCTACAATCCCAAACAGGAGACCCCAAGCAGCCCAAGGCAGCCGATCCACCAAGACCCTTGGCAGACCCACCAGACCCTATATTTATCAGCGGCAATACACGGCAATACCAGCCGTAGGCCCCCGTAACTGACTAGAATACGGGGCCATCAGGCAATGCAGGTTTCAGGTGTAGCCAATCAGAATAGACGAAACCCGGGATCGCACCCCGGGATTACCAGATCGGGGGGAAAGTTCAATCCTGACCCGACGTAGTCTAGGGGATCCGAGCTGGCCATGGATCGATGGGTGACGTGGTTCAGGTTTGGTTTTTTTTTTGTGGGATGGGGTTATTGGATGCTTGCATTAATTGATATGAATATTATTGCATTGATTTGTTGTTTTTTTGGGGGGTTGTGCTTTGTTTTGATTGGGGATGTTTCAGTTGTTACTTACTGTAATGTACTTTTCTTCAGTGAGGGTATTGCAGTGGCATGAATGTACTTTTTAGTGTAGCTGATGATGGATTAATTTTAGTACTATGCTATCGATGGAGCTAATCATCATCCATTCTATTCCATTCCATTCATTCATTCATTCCTTCCATCTATCCATCTCTCTGACATTCACGTCATATTCATGGTCAAATGCAAAGTACCCCGTACTGTATAATGCATCTGCACTGCACTGCACTATACACCTCACATCCCCCATCGCGTACCTGCACCTCCCCATCACCCCTTAAACACTACACCACACTACACTGCACCATCAACCTCCCTCTTCACCCTCTCCAACACCTCCCTCGCCCACCTCTCCCTCCTCACCAACTCCCCATTACACACAACCGGCAACCCGAGCACCTCATTCGCATGACAATCCGAAAACACAGGCCCTTTCACCCCCCGTTCCCGACAAATCCGAACCGCATTCTGCAATAAATTCCTCCCCACCCCGATCCCCCGAAGATGTTGCTGCACAGTCCATGCTCGAATGACGCCGACGACTGGCTGACAGGACCCTGTTCCTGAAGTTGAAGGAGCACATTGCTGCCGGTTCTGGTAGAGCTGTTCCCGTACCACCGCATCCCGCACATGGCCCCAGAGTTCTTCCTCAGTGTGTATGATCCGCAGGACGAGCGTGCCGATCACCCGGTCTTGGTATTTCATTACGAGCATAATATCTCCTTCTTCCTTCTCGTCTTCGTGTTTTTCTGCGTTGTGGTGATCTTTCTGCACGCGGGCATCATCTCCCACTTTAGATCTAGAAGGCGATGATCGAGATGGTGAAGGTGATTGCTCTCTCCGCCGATGCTTATACCTCGTCCCTCCCCTCCATAACCACACCCAGGTCCCCGTACGGCCTGCTTTCTCTAGGTATGGGTGTGTCGTGTGCGCCGCGGCGAGGAGATACACCATGATGCAGGCGGGCCAGGTGATTAGTAGCAGGAAGGGCCAGGTATTGTCTCCTCCGGTGGTGGTGGTGCTGAGTGCGCGAGTGAAGAAGTAGGTTATGATGAGGGAGAAGGTCAGGCATGTGAGCATGGCTGGGTGGGTGAGCATGGAGCGGGCGGCGAGTTGGCGTTGTTGGGCGATGCTGTCTGCTATGAGGTGCAGGGAGGCGATTTGTTCGGCTTCGGTGGTGGTGATGGAGGTTGTTAGGGGTTTTTTTGTGGAGGACATTTTGGGATTGGGTTTGGTGGTGTGGGTGTTGGTATGAGGGAGGTTGTTTTGGGAGATGGTTGGTGAGGTAAGAGAAGTATACAAGTGGGATGTGGTGAGTGAAAACATACTGACGCAGGTTCCAAAATGCTATCTGTGCTGTTTTTACTGTGTTACTGATTTAGTGTATATTGCAAACGTTGATCGCATTTGATTTTAAAAGAACTAAGTTAATGCTTCGCAGGTTACTTTTGCGGAAAGATTCATATTGCACACTTTTTATCGCATACTCTTGTCCAAATGCTACCGTGCTGGGCATTTCCTGTGGGACCTCTTGTTCCCCATCCAGCTAGCTATTACTCCCCGTAACTACCTGCACGAATCCCAATCACCGTTCCTCTACGTTCTATCCCGCTTCGGCCCCTGCTCCTGTCCTGAGGCTGTGACCATGGGTGTGGGTGTAGGTTCCTCGCCGGACAGATACTCCAGAGTCAGACGCTTCGTCTCTGGAATAAGCAATGAGGTCAAGCACCCGCACAGCATGAACAGAGCAAATATCTGCATTACGTGATTGAGCCACGGCGTATCAGATGAGTTAACGCCCCCCTTCGCTCCCCGATGCGCCAGCGGCCCGAATACACACTGCGCAATGATGGCACCGATCTTTCCAGAAGCAGCACTGATCCCATGCGAGGTTGACCGATACCGCGTAGGGAAGCACTCCCCTGGCACAATGAACGTGGTGGCATTTGGCCCGAAGTTAAAGAAGAACTGTGCCACCACGTACAATGCCAATAATCCGTTGTCGGACCTCTTCAGCGGCTCATACGCGAACCCGATGATGATAAATATGATAGTTAATATCACAAATCCGGTAATCTGGATTGGTTTGCGGCCTAGCCGGTCGACTGTTGCAACCGTCACCCAGTATCCTGGAATGGCTCCAGCACAGATCAAGATCAGGTTCCCCACAGCGTTGCGGTAGAAGTACTCATATACAGTACTTTCACCGTTCCAGCCGATGGCCGTCAGGATGATGGAATTATTGAGCCCAAGCCCGTAGAAAGCTATAAAGTCAGCTCGTTACAGTCAAAGTGGAGTATACTTACCAACGTCAAGGAAGAACCACGAGCCTGCAGTGCCAAGCAATACCTTGCCATGCTTCCAAGTGGTGAAATGCGAACGAAAGTCCGACCAACTTGCTTTTGGAGTCACTAGTCTGATATCGGCACTTTGAAGCACAGCTACCCGTTTGACCTCGTCAGGATGGCCTTCGTGTTTCCCCAGAATGTAAGCTTCAACATCTTCATCCGCTTTGAGTAAATCTCTGGCGACATCAAAGGTGTAGCGCGGGGTTTCAGGGATGGTTAAACGATAATAAAGCGCAAGACAAGCCGGAACCGCTCCGAAGCCAATGAAGACCCGCCACATTTTATCCACGGCCAGCTGACAGACTCCACTGCATTTACTCACGGAGGCTGCAGACTCCAGGGAGCCTTTAAGCCCTACCGTCACGATTAGCGCGACAATTGCAGCAGCAAACTGTCCGAAGCCTTGCATGGCAAAGACAGCTCCCATCATGGCTCCTCGATGCTTTGTATTCGCGAACCTACTCGATTAGCTGGGTTCTAATATAAGGGGTAAGCACATACTCTGAAGTTATGATTGAAGATAATGGATAGTCACCACCAATGCCGATACCCATGACTGTACGCCAGAATACCAAAAGGCCCGTGATGGACACTGCAGGAGAATTCGAGGACAAGCACTGTGCCAATGTAGCCAATATGATGATGATGATGATGAGCTCAATCCCGTACATGCGCTTGCGACCGACGATATCTGCCAACCATCCAAAGAACAACTGGCCGATGACGGTACCAGCTGATGTGGAGACCTTGATGGCAGTGTCCGAGCTGTATGGGATCTTGCCAGGGCGGTTGGTCGCGTGTTCCCAAAAGGCAACACCCAGCATGCTTGAGCAGAGGTTTATGGCGAAAATATCGTAGGAATCGGTGAAGAAACCCACCCCAGCTACGACGACCGCGCGAGCGTGACGCCATCCGAACGGAGCGTCGTCGATGCGTGCAAGGGCTAAACGACGACGCTCGTTGGGGTCCTCCACATGAGAAAGGTCAACATTGTAGTTTGGGAACGCGGCCGTATCAGAGGCAGCCATATCATCCCGACAAGGTGTCACAAGGGGTAGGTCATGCAAGAATATATGAGCGTGTTAGCGGACTGCATAGATCAAGAAGATGGGAAGGTGGTTGGAGAGTGAAAATCGTGCTTATAATGCTTACATATATCTTTCCTTGAGTTCCAGACACTCCCTCAATCTTCCATCCTCGTTCACCCGTCTGGATATGGCATCTCTAGGAATGAAGTCAATGGTGTCTGAAGTGACAGCAACACTCGGGCAGACCGATATGGGAGGAGATGGATACCAGTCAGCCGGGCACGTGGGGTTTATCAACCTGCCTGGGCTGGAAGCATCCATGGATTAATTCTATCGGAGGGTCTGGAGTTTCTGTAGCTCACCTGAGGTTAACTTTAATTCAGCCCGAAGTCATCTGGAAGTCTCCAAGCCTCTGTGGACTGACATCATAAGACATCATCTTACAGTGTTTCTCATTTTGTCTAAGATTGAAGGCATGTGAAGATGGCTTCCGCTTCTGACAGCACCTGAAATTGGAGAATGTGATGCGGACTTTCCATGTAGATGGTAGAAGCTCAGGTTGAAATGCAACTCTACTATCCGGACATGCGTGTCTGGTTTAGCTTTAGTCATGATATGGACCGGCAGTAGTAGGATAGTTAAGTGGGTTTGTTGAGAAGTATAGATGGCGAAGAAATATGGATTGACACGTGACAAACGCAAAGAAACCTCCTAATCAAACACACTACGCCGCATAGACTACACTAGTTCAATCACATCACTTCAAGCTCTTTTGCATTTTGACTTTTTTTCTCTAGCGTTAGATGCCCCAAACCCCCAAAGGATCCGCGCCTAAAGATCCCCGAGCCTGTTGCAGCTTCTTCACTCGTTTAACTATGGTCCCCACAGCAATAGGTCCCACCAGTGTGCAGATCGAAATTGCCCAGATAACTACCAGATAGATGTCCGAGATTTCGCCATTAGACCCACTGGCAAACATTCCCTGGCTCTCCGCGAGAGAAGCAATAAGATACCCAACTTCACCTCTGGCAACCATTGCCAGTCCGAGGATAAACGGTGGATAGAGCGATTTCGGCTTGGGAGGGAGGGACATGGTACTGCTGGGATTGGATGAGGTGGTTTGAGGTTCTGCTGCAGATACAGGCTCATCATTGCGGTTGGGATTTTGGGGATTTCTCCTGTGTTCGGCCGAGTTTCTAGAATCTGCATTTTGATCAGACTGTTCTGTACGAACTGCAGATTGGCGTCTAGGGCGAGTATCCTTCTCCTTTGACTTCTTCTTTTTCTTGTTCTCGCTTTTACGAGAAGTACAGGAGATGAGAGCCCAAGAGAACGGTTTCCTAAAAGTGAACAGCAGAGTTTTTGTCGAAGGTAGCGAGAAACGAACGAGCCATAGACCGGTGACCATCTTTCCAAACATCATGAGAATGGAGTAGATGATGCCGCGCCATACAATGTCTCCGCGGAACATCTTGGTGATAGGTATAGCAAATCCGATGGAGGCCTGTACATGTTAGAGGTAGATAATAGCCACCAAGGATAAGACTTACGAAGAACAATGGAATCAAAATCCGATTCACAGGCTCTTTATAGTACTTCTCATACACTTCTATACCGGTCGGAACTTTTTCATGTGGATTGAAAGAAGGTTCCAGCGGCATGCTTGGAGCAGCGTTGTCTGAACGATGAGGCGTCGACTGCTCAGAGGTAGCCTGCCCACCTAGCACGCCAGGCTCGGACTGTGAAATGTCGCGATCCGTGTTAGTATTCGGGATATAACTATCAGCAGCCAATCCATCAAACCAAGAAATAATCACGCCCGCAAGATACGCAGCAAATAGGCTGGATGTCCCTGCATAGGTAGCGCCCGCAACAAGCCCAACCAGCATAGATGTCTGCGCAAGGAAAGCAAATTGCATAGATCCCATAAATTGCGGCAGATTACCTCTCATAGTGAGAACCTTTTGCAGGATCGGCTTCAGGCAGAATACGCACAGGATGAAAACACCCAATGCAAAGCCAAGGGATACAAACAAAGGTCGAACCACAGTAACAGCATTAAACGACGAACCACTACCACCAAGATTTGAGATGATTTGAACCATGACAAGACCAACAACATCGTCTAGCATAGCAGCACTTGTAGTGACAGTACCAAGACGTGTATGGATCAGATTAGTGGTTGACAATATGGTGAAAGTGGTGCCAAGACTGGTTGCGCTGAGAGATGCGCCTGCAGCGAAGGCCTGAAGGGGGCTGGCGGAAACCAGCTTCACCAAGATGAACGATAAGCCCATGGGAACCCCGATCCCAGTGAGGGCAACACATAGCGAAATAAAAAGGTTGGCTCTCATCGATTTGATTGAGGTTGATAGACCACCTACTTAAGTGAGTCATGGATCTTTCCCCTGGACCAATAAGACTCACCTTCATATACCAGCATGATAAGCCCAATATAGCCCAGTTGTTGGATTACTCTTTCAGTCTCCGTATCCAGCCATTTTGCCCCCGGGGTCCCCCAGAGGATACCGACGAACAGTTGACCGATCAGTCCACAGTACAGTAGCTTATCGAGACAGACATTGATGAGGTTCAAGACCACCAAGAGTCCAGCCTGATTGAGAAGAGTCGAGATACTTGGCTCATGGTACGCAAAAGCTGCGTCCGACCCACTGCTAGCCATACTGACCCCACGGAATGCAAGAAGTTCATGGATGTTGTTTCATTTTCGGATGCCGCTGATTGCAGATCGTGCTGGCCTGTGATTACTAATCTACTATTCCCGATTGATTTTCTCGCAGTCAAACAAATGTTCTACACTGTACTCCGTAGTTGGATATAGCCATATCTTATGCAGAGAGAGCAGTCGGAGATAGTTACCAAATTCTGGTTTACTCATAGCCCGCGCTGTGAGTATTACGACCCAATTATAATGCACTCACTCACCCACCCGTCAGAGGCTGGAGGTCTCAGCTCCTGTATTGACCCACCGATCCATAGCGTGGGAAATATTCAGTTTCTCCCTACCGGCTAAATGGATATAGGTAGTACTGGATGCTCTCATGTGTTTGTATCTGAAACCTTTGAACACGGCTCGATAGGCAGTTTGCCCGAAGTGCATATTGTTAGCACATGCAAAACAACCCCGAAGCCGTTTATAGCAGTATGCAAAGAAAGCATCAAAAATAAGCAATTCTATGCATTAGCCAAACCTTCTGTAATTAAGTGACAGCAGCAATTGTCGATCACTCTCATCAGCCAGGAAAGCTACAATTCCAGCCAGCGATGGACCAAGCACCTGTCTGGAAACAACCTCGGCACACGACGATGTGCATAACGTTAATGCATAAACCCAATTCAACCTAACCGTTCAAGAATTAGTCAAATAGAGCAATGCTAATGAAGAAGGCAAGTAAAAATAGAATTGCGGAAGCGTTTCATCCCAGCCGCAAGATCGACACCGGCGTCGCATCCAAGTCTGGCTGGAACCCTCGGAAGAGAACCGACCATTCCATCATGCTCCAACGGAGGTTACAGATAGAAAGGGAGATAAGAACACCCGTTCATGAGTTTTGCTTCATCTTTTTCAGTCTATCTCGCAAGTATTACTCTAGATGCCTAGTCAGTCAGTTTAGATATGGATGAATCTCCGAAGTGCAAAGACAAATCAAGCCAAGCCCGGTTTAATTATGATTTAGGGTACGGTACCTCGGAACCTCAAACTTGAGTCGAACGGTTCGACTCAAGCAGATCACCCGACCACCCACACCCCTTCTGTCTACCACAGTATAGACTAGGACTGTCCTCCGATCACGTTTCCCGACATTTAGATCGAGGGATAAGTCGATCCTTTCCGGATGTTGAACCATAAGCTCCAGTCCGCGGTATCAGATCTCAGACGCATGCACACCCCTGACCCCTACCTACTGTTCTACGTACTAACTTTATACTGTGAATTGAATCCTCACGCCTTCAAGCGAGGACGGAGAAAAAGGTATAAAATTGTCTTCAATTCCTGCTCGGATCTTCTGTTTTTTTCATCCAGCATTCTCAAGCAAGCAATCCTTCCTTCATCCATCCATCCATCTTTCGCTCGTTCTATTCACATTCCCTCGTTAGGGTACGTACTACTTCTATTTTACTTCCTCAATCTTTGTTGAAGAAATTGCACAGACATCTAACATTAAGCTCACAGAATCTTAATCTACTCAGTCAAAATGCAGTTCACTCTCATCACCGCTTTCGCCACTGCCTTCCTGGCCTCCTTCGTTGCCGCCAACCCTGCTCCTGCCCCGGCTCCCTTCGAGATCGGTATCGGTGCCAACGCTGCCGCTAACGCCGCTGCTGAGGTCGCTGCCAATGCTGGTCTCGGTGCTGGTGCTGGTATCCACTTCAAGGCTTAAGTGGGTTCATTAGGGTGAGTGACTTTTACATACTTGGGGTTCTTGTATTAAGCTAATTTTTGGTGTTGTATATGAACAGGGTTCTCTGTTGACCACGATATTATTATCCAAGTACCTGCTGTGCTGGTATATCTGGATGGATGGGATAAGGTTGGATTTATTGGTATTTTTGTATTTAGTCGGTGTCGGGATAATATGATAATGTTTTGTTGATTTTCTTCTGTATCTGCTGTAGTCTAACTAAGAAACATTCTTCATCTTAACGATACTTCTGGCAGGTCGCACCAAAGGCATTATAAATGAACGGTAAATTACAGAGATCCAACAACAGTCTAACCCAACCCTTCCTGGTATGCCCCGAAACTACCCGCTCTTTATGCCCACATGGCCTTGAACTTCTCATTGAACTCAGCTTGAAGCATTCTGAACGCCCTCAAGACTTGCAAAAATCCCTTCTCGGTATCACTCGGTAAAGCGGAGGAAGTGGGATTGTCAGTCGCCTTTGCCTTTTCTTTTCTCTCGGGTACCTTATTCTCACTTTCTTCATCGGCACTCAACTCATCTTCCCAGCTGTCCGCTACCTTCGCTTTCTTTGAATTGGCGGATGCCGAAGTGAGCGGGGGCTTGGTTGTGGCTTGCATTCGGACTCGGGGTAAATTGGCTGATTTCGTGGCTGTCCCTGGCAGGGGATCGCTTGCATCATAAGCATTATCATCCAAGTCGATCTCGTGCACATCACCACTACCAGCCACATCCAACAAGTCCAGGTCAATGTTCGGGGACAGCTTGAGATAGTTCTCGAAATCAGTGACAATGGTGGCAAGGACCAAGGAAAAGTCGTTCAGGAGAAACCAGATATCACCCCTGCGGATCATATTTCCCTTCTCCAATGCCTTCACATTTCCGTGCTTGAAGAAATCATATAGATACGCATTGAGTGGAAGTTTGCCCTCTTCCGGGTAAACTCCCACATACGGCACCACTGCTTGTTCTAGCCAGACACCGCTGCGGACCTTTTTACAGAGGTCAGATATGCTCCGCCATTTATCGCCATGACCTGACAGTGCGGCAAACGACGACGTGACTCGGGTCGAAGGAGTAACGGCCAGTGCGTGGCTGATTCTCTCCGGAGATTTGTCGCCACCGCACTTCATTCCTGTCAGCGGGAGGAAACAGCCTGGATCTATGATGTGCTGCTCAACAAAGGTGGTCACATAAGATGTGTAAATATCTTGAGTCTTCTCGTTATGACTGCGCAAGATACTAGCCGCTTTCTTCGGAAGACTTGGAAGAATCACAACAGATGGGGATTTCTTCTCAGAGGTTCGGAGGTTCTCAAGGGCAACTAGAGGTAGATACTTGCGACCGAATAAGTGCGACATAACAAGCATCAATGTGAGAACAGTTTCTTTGGGTCTCTTGCCGATATTCTTGCACAGTCGATGAAAATATCCACCGTTGAGGAGCGCATGGAATGCAAAGCTCGAATTCTCGGTGTAGTACAGATGCGATATGGTACCCGAAAAATTGAGGGGAAGACCGCTAGCGTCGAGGAGCTGATTGCGACGGAGGTATTCAATCGAGAACCGCAGGTGATGGAGAACAGTATGTTTGGCCTCCGGGCCCCCAAGGTAAATCCGTGGGCATGAAAGGATCGAGTTGATGGCTTTGACGGCAAACTGAGACCGATTGGACTTCTGGAGCAGAATGAAAAGTCGTAGTACTAGAGTGGTAGACAAAGGAAAATGGCCATTCAAGCTTGGAAGCTTCGAGCTGAGTAGACGGTGAATCTTGGAATCCGGAATACACTGAAAGACCACGTTGCCTAGGAAGTCGAAGCCTCGGCGTCCAGCTCGACCAGCTGCTTGCCGAAATCCAAGCCCCGTTAAATAGATAGAATCACCGGCGAAGACGACGGTTTTGCATGGCATATTGATACCAAGAGCCAATGTACCTGTGGCGATGACAACCCGGAGGTAGCCCCTGCGGAAGAGCATCTCACAAACCTGTCGGTACTTGCGATTCATACCAGCGTGATGGACACCGATCCCACGCTTCATAGCATCAATCAACCGAGGAGAGACCTGCCGTTTCCGCAGTTCTTGAGCATGTTCCTCAAACTCAGAACCCGCCAGCTTCTTTTCATCAGCTAGGGAAAACCTCGATATTGGCTCTTCTGGGTCAAACAATGCGTGCCAACTCGACTCTGCAGACGCAGTCTCACGCATCTGTTCTGCTCTGGACATTTTTTCATCTCTGTCTCCAGATCGAATTTTCCCTTTGAGAGGTTGTTTGTGTTTGGAGCGCTTTTCTTCTGACTTCTTCCACCTTTCCCACTCACTAATCTTGTTCGCCCAGCTTGTACTTGAAGACTTCCACCGGGCCTCGGATTGTTCCAGTTCATCAAGAATATGCTGACACATCCTCTCACACTCACTTCGATCATAGTTAAAGAAAATAGCTGGTAGGGCGTCTTGGTTATGGAGAGAACAGATCAGGGGCAGTGTTGTACTGAGAAGTCTGTTATCCACTGCGCGGGGCTCATCTGACTGGCCGAGTTCGCCAGACGATACCTGCATGTTATCGTTCGTGTTTACATAGCTTCCTCGTGAGAGTTCCTTCACGACATCATCGAATGGAGAGCCTGAGATGTTCATCCAATGTTTCAGTACCAGCTTCAGCTTGGCCTCCCACTCCAATATGTTGGCTTTGGATATGACACCTGGCAGTGCGTTTGACGGATCCAACGCTTTCTCAAGGGGATAATCTGCTGTTTTGTACTTGTCCATGGCCTTCCAAAGTGTCCAACAATCACGCGGCTCCAGAGTGAGATCGTCCGGGAATCCACGAGATCGGTTGGTCAGGCTTGTCACAGGATGTATAAAGGACATGTTTGGACAAGCATCGAGGCCGAGTGCAGCTATATGAGTGACATTTGATAGCCCGTTAAAGACGAAAGTGGATGGAGGTCTGTATTCAAACTTTCTTAGGTCCGACCATCTCGTTTTGTGCTCAATCATTTTCAGTTCATGGCCATTTGCATTCTGAGTCAACCTTAGCCAGTTGCTGAATTCTTCGGGATTACCGACCGTCGCGGAAAGTGCAATGATAGGGCAAGGTGCAAGAAGAAGCAATTGCTCCCATACCACTCCATCATCTGATTGACCAATGCAGTGGATTTCATCGAAAATGATACGCTGAATGCGAGACGCCCACGATCTCGCGTTTGACGGAGCAAGAAGCATAATCTGAAGGATGTGTGGTACTGTGATTAAGATCTGACAGCTGGTTGGGTTGTTGATGCGGTAATCACGTGTATGAATAGCCCAGACAGACTTTCCAGCGTATTTGTAGCTCTTACTGAATTTTGCTTGGACCTCGGCGGCGATCTGATTGACAAGTGCTTTAGTCGGGGCAACGTACACCAAGACCCCATCGTCACTGCTCTCGAGGACCTGTTTCATAGCATAGAATCTATTCTACAGTCAGGAATTTGAAGCACACTTTGTTATAGGCTGCCATATGACACTTACGATATGAAAGTCTTCCCTGCACTTGTTGGAGCGACAACAAAAAGACTCGCTTTAGCGTCGATTTGGTCCAAGATCTCTCTCTGCCACCGATCAGGCTCAAAATCATGAACACGGGGGTCTGGTGCCGATTCCATATTTCGATCGAAGTATGGACCCGCATGAACAAGCTGAAACTCAACTGGTGTCAAGCCCGTTTGGAAGTTGGCGTGCTGTGAAAATGTTGGTGTGAATGAGGATGTAGCTTTCCCTGAAGTTTGACAGGAGATGTCAATACGTGGAAGATTGAGCGCTTTGATGGTTTCTTCAACAAAACATCGAATGCCAACCGTAACGCCTTGCTTCGCCTTTGAGATCTTAAGAATGAGGAACCATATGAGTGCCACTATCCCCATAGGCTTGTTCTTCTCTGTTTCGCACTTGGTTTTCCACAGCTGCACTAGGGTCATTATGAGATAAGCGAGTATTTCTAGCTCTATCAGACAGTCTCCCTTTTTCTTTAAGCTGTGGAGATACTCGGAAGCATCTTGATATCTCTGGACCAGATTGTCGGCATGCTCGATACCATGGCGTTTATGTTTCCATGCTTCTAATTGTCTTTCAAGGTTTTTGTCCCGTTGTTCCTGGAAATGAAGTTCTGCCTCTGCTTTAACCGACGCAGACGCGCTGGTCTTTGGTTGTCTAGTCTGTTTTGGGCCATTCTTCGTGGATCGAGATGTCCTGTCTCTCTCCATAGCTTCAGAAGCCGGATTTTTTCTTGGCAAGACCTTGAGGTCTGCCTTAGCCTTTACAAAAATGGACTCTGGTTCCGCATCTGTGAGACTGGCAGCATATTTCTCAGTTTCAGCCATGAACTTCTGATTACGGCGAAGAAGCCACTTCGTAAGAGGAATTGCATTCCGCTGATCTAGCGGTCTGCGATGATTATGCCAGTGGCTGATTTCCTCAAAGATTCGCGACACTGCAAGCTCCTTCCCAGCAGCAGATTTGTCAATAGCAAGTGATATTGGCTTGAGATGGCGGTCAAAGTCGGGGTTGTTGAAGGGGAGCACGGCAGTTGCCTTTGTCCGGCTATTAACTTGGCCACTGCCCGAATTCCTAGTTTTCTTCTTGCTGCTTGCTTTCCTACTGCTAGTCTTGTCGCTCACTTGGAAGCTAGCAATTTCGACACCACATAGGCCTTTCACTAGTGAAGCAAGCACCGAAAACCTATCCACGATTGATTGGCTGAAGGAGCATTCAAGATCAGACGGACAGATTATTTGCAATTGCATCAGCTCAAGGAACAACCGCCCATCAATCAGGTCCGCCACATCACAGCTTATAGGTCTAAGCCTCATAGCATCATGCCACAACTGTGATGTGATGACACTCCGAGATACTTCAACATATCTTACCAGCAACAACTCACCAGGGAGACAGTACTTGGGACCATACACGCGGTTTTCAAGTTTGCACTCACTCAGAATGATTGTGTGTAGTAACAGAGCACGTAGCCCCAACATCTCATTCTCTTGGCGGCAGTCAGAAGTTAGCAGGACACTTGCTGTTAGAACTGTGGCCCACTCTCGCTGAGTGAGAGTGTGATCAGTGGCGCCCAAGATACGCGGGAAATTGCGTAGAGTAGGCTCGACTGAGGAAGGGCTAGTGGGAGAAGGTCTTTCAGTACTGGGGCTAGCTTCGATGTGACAATGCGCCAGATTGATTTCAGATTCCACCTCTTCTGTATCAGAACCAGATGATTCCGTATCCTCCGCAATGTCCAGGCTGACAGAATCCACGCAGAAAAGATTCCGTGCCCGTTCTGCGGAGCCCTCTAGAACCATAGTAAACACCTATTCAAGGTTAGGTTTAGTCCAATACAGATGAAGACGCTGAGCTCACCTTGGTATCACGACACTCCAAGCTGTTCAACAATGAGATATTAAAGCCATGTGCGACAAACCAATGTATCATCGACCTGAGCGTAATTCTATTCGTCCAAAACGAGGGAAGAGTGTTATCGGACATTTCATCACAACCACTGTCTGAGCTATCGTCTGACAGCACTTTCTCGGGGTCTTCTAGAGCTCTACCAAATGCTCTGTCATGCCCGCTAGAACTTGAAAAGGCCCCATCATGACACATGATAAAATAGACCCCCTCCGAAGTAAGATACTCCTCAAAATCAGAGCAGTTGTATGTATCAAAGCATCTCACTTGCATGGATGGAAAAGCCTTAGGAGCATTCTGTTGAAGATGCTGTAAAATGGCTTCACGAGCTAGACGGTACTTCGGCAACGACGACTCATCGGCATGTGGTGGAATAGATGCCATCGAGTTTTCCGCGAAGAAGACGATGTGAAAATTGCAGTTTCGTTGTCGAAGCTGTGCTAGCAACCTCTCCACGATGTAAGTGGCATGAAGCAGCTGAAAGCCGTTGGAAAAATCAAGCTGATCGTCGGCGAAGCAGTGCAAGAGAAGTGAGTCTCCATCGATGATGAAGAGCTCACTGCCTGCATAGTCGCCAACGAGGTCGACGGTACGGGAGTACAGGCTAGTGTACCTGAGGAGATAACGTTATCAGACGTGTCCTTGACAGCGTGCAACTAAACCTGGTCAGGAATGTCTGGATTGGTCACTTACCAAGACAGGAGCTTCTGTGGATCTGCCATCGCGATGGTGTAACCAGGACTTGTGTGGGGGAGTAGAACAGAAGAGCTGTGAGGACGAGGAAAAAAGAAGTCGAAAGGGCAGATACTTAGGCGCGTATCAGTGATGGCGGGGTACAGGATGGCAACCAATATATAGTATTCACTGCCAGGCCATTCACTGCAAGGACATGCAAGGCTGTAGGCACCTGCCGAGCGAGCCTCGCAGTGGGCTATCTCTGATCCCTGCTAGTTGTTGTTGGGTCTAGCACTGCCCTGCGGGGTGTGGTATCCATGCGCGAACATTGGTCTCAGCAGCGCGCCAAACTGATACGATGGAAGAATGATGCGTAGCAACTCGCTGGCTATTAGACCAGATGTGGTCTCGTTCGGGTGGGCCATAGACCCGCAAGTCGAGCAAGAGGAGAACACAGACCGAATAACGTAGAGCATTTCCAACCGGATTATCCCGTAACTGGAGTTGATGTAGACAGAACAAGCATCGTAGGACAGAGTCCGGCGCCAACTGGTCACATGTTAAGCAGTTGCTGGACAGTTTGAGATGAGATTACCCGATACATAGCACTCGGATGGATTAGGATACTATTTCAATGAGCTGATGGGATACCGTTGGATGAGATAGTCAGTACTACATAAAAAATATTCCAGTCGGAGGTCGATCTTGAAGGCGTCAAACAACAGCAGGAACGAGCGGGACTAGAACTCCGACTACTTGAAAGAAAGGGATAATATACCTGACCATGATAATTGCAAGATGAATCAGATTCCCCGTTGTTTACAGGAAATATAGCAAAGAGCTGACTACTAATTCTAAATGCAATAGAACAAGCTGAAATTACTTGTGCTCAATATAAAATAAGATAATATCCAAACCTTCAACAACAAGCGTTAATGGTGTAGCGGTAACATTCAACCCTTCCACTCCTCTTGTGAGGTTGAGCTCTGGGTTCGACTCCCAGTTAACGCACAAACATGATTTCTTTTTTTACTGCTCCACATACGTATCTGATCCTAACCAATCGATTATACATAGGTTACATCTCGATAGTCGCCATTGTTGAAAGGATCAAATTCGCAACCTTCATACTCAACTCAATTCCGGCCCTCTGAATCATGTAAAGCGCCCTGTTATTCATTCAGGCACATGTCCGTCCGACCGACCGCCTCCCACATTACGGATAGTGCCCCACCCTTATCCAGAACCCACACGTGACCTCAGAAAAGGCCGCCCCTCCAATTCCAAGAATATATTATTGCATCCTACGAACGCCCCCCCACGATAACCAATTTCTTTCATTGCCTGTACAGATCAATATCTCCCATAATGGCGCGCGTCCGCCTCGCCCCGCTCTCCTCCCTCACTCAAACCCGCTATGTCCTACACCTCTCCGACGGCAAACGCCTCGTCCTCTTCCGCCTCCCCACGATCGAGACCCCGAAAACCAAAGACAAACCTCGAGCGCGCAATGACGCCAACGGCTGGTCCTACTACGCCATGGAAGCGGAGTGTCCGCATGCCGGCGGCCCGATGAAAGATTCCTCCATCGACATTGAAGATTCGGCGTATATCGTGTCTTGTCCGTGGCATGCATATGATTTCAATGTTGAGACGGGAGAGTCGAGTGTGGGGATTAAGGCGTGCACGTTCCCTGTTGATGTGAGCGCTGAGGATATGGTGGTTGTTGAATATACCTCTGAGAAACTAGGGGAGGGAGTGGAGTTGGCGAAGTTGGAGGCTGTGAGTGAGCAGATGAAGTTGAAGAAGAGTGTCAAGGGTGTGAATGGTGCGACGGCGACGAATGGAGTAGGTGGTGAGGATGAGACTGAAGCTGCGCCTATCCGGTATCTGGATGATAATGCGACGGTGTGTGAATGGTGTGCGCATATTCTGAACACGTCGAACCCGGAACATAAGATCGAGTTGACGGCGCATTTATTCAAGTTGTTTACGGAACGAGAGGGAACGAATAAGCCTATGGTTATCGGGACTAGAGACGGTGTTGACCTCCCTGATTTACCGCCTAGGGATGGCGTCAAGGATGTGAACAGACAGGCAGTTCCGAAGCCGGGTAGAGGTGGTACGCAGAAGAGCAGAATCAACATGCTGCATGCGCTGGCGAACATTGAACAATGGGCAATCGATCTGGCGGTTGATATCTGTGTGCGGTTCGCGAAGTTCCAGACGGAGTCTCCAGATGCGCTGGGTCTTCCTCGGGCGTTTTTCCACGACTGGTTAAAGGTCGCCAATGACGAGGCGAAGCATTTCTCTCTCCTCCGGACAAGACTCGAGGAACTTGGCTCGTACTTCGGTGCCCTTCCTGTTCACCATGGACTATGGGACTCTGCGACCGTGACTGCCCATGATTTGCGCGCCCGTATCAGCATCATTGCGTTGGTGCACGAGGCGCGCGGATTGGATGTGAATCCGGTGACGATTGACAAGTTCCGCAAGGCCGGAGATGGAGACAGCGTTGACACGTTGGAGATTATCCACAATGATGAGATCACCCATGTTACGACGGGCCATCGCTGGTTGACCTGGATCTGTGCCCAGGAGGAGACGGATCCCGTCAAGGTATTCCGGGGAAATGTACAAAAGTACTTCCGCGGGCCGTTGAGAGAACCGTTCAATACAGAGGCCAGGTTGCAAGCTGGTCTGGATAAGAGGTACTATGAGAATCTCTCGGGGTACGAGGGAGTTCAGCCTGCTTGATCGCTCGTTGAGTGGTAGCTCCATATTGAAGAGCGTTTCGAGTTGCTTGCTGCTCTGGCGGCTGAGCACCATCCCAGATAACATGGCGGGTGGTGCAAAGGCTTTAGCAACTCACACCCTTGCCAAAGAACTTTGATTACCAGCAGCATCAGGATCGGGTCTATCCCTACTCTGCCGCAGGATCCGATGTTGCAGTCATTGTCATCGATGATAGGCATACTCAGTTCACCCTCTGAACACTTCGTCACTCTCTGATCAGTCATGCCAAGAAGTGCCCTACGTGAGGGGCAAAGCACCGTGAACTGCTTAGTGATGCGACACTGAGGGAGTTGTGCCACCCCATTCTTAATGAAGGTGCATGACCCCAGGTACGTACTTGTGGGACTCGTGTGGTCAGGAGTATCATAAGTGCCCGCATATTTTATGTCTCGAGATGACGACCTCTCCAAAAGCATGTCCATACAACTAGAATCATTACGAAAGATACCCCATATAGATTAGACCAATAGTTTAACAAATCATTCAAAGTGAATTTCTATACATCTAATCGTAACAGTCAAAGCTCGTAAGCTCATTAGATCGTCAACGTCCCCGTCAACTGGGTATCAAGCACACTCTTTCCCACATAAACCGAATAATCACCCTTCTGCAAAACCCAAGCTTGGTTCACTACATCCCATGAACTGAGATCGCGCCTCGTCAGATCAAATTGGACCTTCGTGTGATGGCCCGGCTGGATAAGTTTCTTCTCGAAACCACGGAGGACCTTTGCTGGGCCACCGGGGATACCCAGATAGAGCTGAGCGACTTCAGCCGCAGCGACAGATCCAGTGTTGGCGACCGAGCAGGTAACCGTAGCCACCACATCCCAGAGGGCGGGAATACCGCCTTCCTCGATGGTAGAGTTGGGAGGTAGGTAGTCAGTGTTCACACCGGTGTGAATGGAGATCTTGAGACCCGAGTAATCGAAGGTGGAGTAGGTGAGACCGTAGCCGAACTCATAGCGAGGGGTGATGTTCTTCTGCTCGAAGGCCTTGTAGTCGATATAGACACCTTCGGTGAAGTTGTCCTGCGGGTAGTACAAGTCCTTAGTTCCTTCCGGAACTACAGGGCTCAGGAGAGCACCGTAGTCAGAGGCGTTCTTGGCGACGGTGTAGGGAAGACGGCCAGAGGGGGATTGTTTGCCGTACATGATCTCGACAAGGGCGCGACCGCTGTCTTGACCGGGGAGATGGCCGTAGATGACGGCAGTGACGTTGGGGTTGTCGACCCAGCGGTCGACGAGACGGATGCCGGCGTTGTGGATGATCACCATCGTGTTGTTGCATTGGGAGGCGACGTTCTCGACCAGAGTGTCGGAGTAGGGGTCGGCCACGTACGGACGGTCCCAACCTTCAGCTGCGGCTTCGTTAATGAAGACAAGGCACGCTTCACTAGCCGGGTTTACAACTGGAGACTGGGAGGCAAAGTCCCAGGCGAGGAAAGTGTTGTCTTCATAAGCTTGACGTTGGAAGGCATCGAAGGGAGCGTCGATGTAGGATGGAGTGCTGGCGCCGGAGCCGCCGCCGGAGATCATGGTACCATTCAAGGAAACACCAGGGCCATTTTCAGAGGGGTTGGTGCTGGAGAGGAACATGTATTTGAGATGAGAGGGGTCCACGGCGGTGCCGTTGGGATAACTTAGAGTGTTGTCGAGGCCCATGGTCCAGAGACTCCAGGAAAGGTCGTCCATGGTATTGCGTTGCGCGGCGATGGCATCATATCCGAAAAGTGAGAGGAACTTCGGTTCCTTCAGAGGCAAGGCGTTGTCAGTATTTTTGACAAGGACGTGGCCTTCGATAGCCTCCTGGAGAATGGTGGCCTTGGAGGCAGGATCGCGAGCATCAACTGGATCATGGGGCTCTAGGAGGCTGATGGGCATGCCAAAGCCGGGGTCTTCCAGCTCTGCATACTTGTACCATGCAGCGACGATGCGAGTTGCCATGTCATCGAGACGCGTAGACGAGAGCGATCCATTACGGACAGCCAACGATAGATTACCATTTTCCCAATAGACGGAGTCAGGCATGACCATATCGAGACCTGCCGCTGCACTGGCAATACCCGACTGCTGGGCATTCCAGTCAGAGACGACAAATCCTTGGAATCCCAATTCACCCTTCAGCAGACCATTCAAGTTCTTGCTGTTTTGACATCCATAGCTGTTGTTGATGCGATTGTAGCTGCACATGACGGCACCTGCACCAGCTTTGACTGCATCCTGGAAGGGCCACAAGTAAAGCTCGTGGATAGTTTTGTCATCGATATTGGAGGAGACCGACTGGTTATAGCTGTCTTCCAGTAGTTGGGGCGTGTTGCGGTTCGTCTCCTGCTCATTTCCGATGAAATGCTTGACGCAGGCAATGACGGATTCCTGAAGACCACGGATGGTGTTCTGAACGAGGGAGCCAGAGAGGTAGGGGTCATTACTGTATCCTTCCCAATTGCGACCACCTCGCGCCATGCGGCCCAACGGGCCTACAACGGGTCCAAGAGCAACATTCGCTCCCTTGCGCTTGAACTCTGCACCCATATAATGTGCGTGCTCATAGGCGAGGTCACGGTTCCACGAAGCCCCGATATGGAGACCCGAGGCGTAAGCGTTGACCATGTCAGTTCCCCGCACACCGCTCGCTGCATCTTGAAGACACATCCCTGGGTACCCCAGTCGGGGGACACCACCAGACATTCCAGAGCAACCGTTTGTCGTAGACGTATAACCATAGGTGATGTTATTCTTCTCATCGTTGGTCATCTGTGCCACGAGAGACTTGGCTTTAGTGAACGCCTCTTCCCAATCACCCGATCCACTGGTTTCGGCTAATGGCTGGATTAGATTTGATCATGACTAGCAGGTCAGGATGACTTACGGGTGGGATAGACAGGTTCTGAGCGTCCATAGGACCAGTAGTGCTCTAGCTCAGCAACGTCGACTGTTCGCTTCTGGACTACAGCGGCATCTGCCAGCTGCAGCGCAGCCGCATAGAGGGTGAGTGACACCTTCATCTTCTCAAAGTTGCTGCGGAGGATTTCCTTGATGGTGAGTTAAGAGACATCCTAGGCGAATATCTGGGTCCTTATATACCCACGGCGCAGGATCCAAACATTTGATTGTCCGCTCCAAAGTCAACTATGAGCCAACCCCATTCCGACCCCCTTCCAACCCCATTCCATCCACAAATCCGGCCAAGGCTTTGTCAATTCTCGGCAATGACAGAGGCAGAATGACTGCGGTATGGCCCGCACAAGAACCCGGAAGAATAAATGGCATAGGGTTCCGGGTCAATCTCGGAATAATAGCCAATTAGACGCTTCACAGAGAGCGACATCCGTGGGGATAGCTCGTATGGTGAGCAAGTCGCGTGGCCGACTTCGGTCCCTGCTCGGCTCCACGAAGTCGGTGCCATGAGTATGAAGCGTTGAATTGCGGGGACTCCACACTCGGAATAAGCGAGACCTCCGCGTTCTGCACCCCAGAACGGGAAAACGTGACGACGATGCCGGCAGAATTTCGGCAGATACTACCATCATGTTGCGCTCGCAAGGACGCCAAGTGAAGCTAGCGGTGGTTAGGCCGTTTGTGCCATGGTCTTCTTAATAACTGCGGAACCTTATTCGCTTCTTCACACTTCCCCAGAACGATGTCATTCTCCCCGGGCACGAGAAGTAGGGTGGGGACTGGGGAGACAAACATGCCACATGACATGACAAATGAATGACTAACTGAATTAGAGGTAGTTGAATACTATTCGGAGTATGTATCTTCCCTCGTGGGGGCCGACAATTGGATTCAGCTCCGACTGGAAATTCCCCGGGGAGAAGCTTAGTGGTAGATAGATGGAAGAGAGAGAGAGGAAAAAGGATGGGAAGAAAAGCTGGTTGTGTCCCGCTCTTCCCCGAACTCGCGCATCCCGTGCCCACGATCAGGTGATTAATGAAATGGCACGACAGCCAAAAGCTTCTTCTTCTTTCCTTTTCATCTGCAAGGGCCTGTGATGGATGAAGGATGCTCTACGGTTCCTACTGTACCCCCCATCCCTTCTAATCCAACACTCGGATTCCCACAAAATCGGCCCCGTAAGATTGAAATCCTTCGTCACCCCCCACATTCCCAACTATCACCTCGTTTAACCCTTCCTTCCAGCCACTAGTCAGTAGTCCTAAAGTTGCAGTATCCCACCATCCCAACCCCGGACCGAACAGCTCGCTATGTCTTCCGCTCAGCGGCACTTCGATCCGCACCGGTTCCTCGCTATTTACCGTCACGGTCAAGTTCCGAGAGTTGGATCCCCAGCCCCAGGACGAGTCGAAGGCAATCTCGTTGTTAATCCAGTCAATTTCCAGATACTTGCTCCCACTCGTAGTCGCGGAAATCGTTGCTTTGGCTGTGCCACTGGGACTGATGTAGCCGATTTTTGAGCCAACCGGCTGACAATAACCGCTCCCACAGGTAGTCAGTGTAGTAGACCCGGCGAGGGTGAAGTTCGTGCAAGGGTAGTACGTTCCATTCGGAGCAGTGATGTGAATGGCGTCAATGGGTATGGAGGTGTTGATGGTGACTGTGTTGGAGGAGCCGGCAGTAAGTGGGATGTTTGCGGAGACTAGCGTCGATGATGCGGGGACCTGTACGGATATTATACTCTGGTTGGCATTTGATCCGATGCTGATGGTTTCTGCTGAAGAAGCTGGCTGCGAGAAGTAGACGCTAACTGTGTACTTGGCACTGGTTGTCACGGCATAAATGTTTTCGAATGTTGTCGTTTGCCTAACAAGTCAGAAACATACATGTTGAGACGAGGATGGACATACCCAGAAGACTCCCCGAAAACATCCCTCGGATATACCCCGACCGCAGTCGTATTCTGAAGTTCGAGCAGCATCGTGCCATGGCCGGCGACTGTCGCCGTGTAGGAAGTGACCACATTCTGCGCAGTAGTGCCGTCCCATATGTTCTTCACCGT